TCTGGCTCCTTCAACAGTGGATTTGGATCTGGCTCTACTGGTCAGTTCCAGTCAGGATCAAGTGCTGATTTTGGTTCTGGTTCTTCCTTTAGCAGTGGATCTGGTTCTTCCCTCAGCAGTGGATTTGGTCCTGGCTCTTCCACCGGTCAGTTCCAACTAAGTTCATCCAGCGGTCTTGGGTCTGGTTCCTCCCTTAGCAGTGGAGTTAGTTCCGGTTCTTCCAGTGGACAGTTCCAATCAGACAGTAGTGGATTTGGATCCAGCTCTGGTGGGCAATTCCAATCAGGTTCACTGGGCAGCAGTGGATCTGGATTTGGATCCTCCAGTGGAAGCAGCAGTGGATTTGGATCAAGTTCTTCACTCAGTGGTGGATTCCAGCCTGGCTCATCTGGTGCTGGAGTTAGTTCAATTTCTTCCCTTAGCAGTGGATCACAGTCTGGTTCTACATTTGGATCATCATCTGGTTCTGGTATTAGTTCTACTTCCTCCTTTGACACTGGATTCCAGCCCAGTTCTCTATCTGGTTCTGGATTTGGTTCAAGTTCTGGATCCCAGTCTGGTTTCTCATCTGGATCTGGTAGTGGATTCCAGTCTGGTTCATCATCTGGTTCTGGAATTGGCTCCACTTCTTCCCTTAGCAGTGGATCTCAGCCCAGTTCTCTATCTGGTTCTGGATTCGGTTCAGGTTCTGGATCCCAGTCTGGTTTCTCATCTGGATCTGGTAGTGGATTCCAGTCTGGTTCTGGAATTGGCTCCACTTCTTCCCTTAGCAGTGGATCTCAGCCCAGTTCTCTATCTGGTTCCCCATTCGGTTCAGGTTCTGGATTCCAGTCTGGTTTCTCATCTGGATCTGGTAGTGGATTCCAGTCTGGTTCATATCTGGTTCTGCAATTGGCTCCACTTCTTCCCTTACCAGCGGATCCAGCCCAGTTCTCTATCTGGTTCTGCATTCGGTTCAGGTTCTGGATCTCAGTTGGTTTCTCATCTGCATCTGGTAGTGGATTCCAGTCTGGTTCATCATCTGGTTCTGGAATTGGCTCTACTTCCCTTGGCAGTGGATTCCAGTCCACTTCTCTATCTAGTTCCCCATTCGGTTCAGGTTCTGGATCCCAGTCTGGCTTCTCATCTGGATCTGGATTTGGTTCCAGTTCTTCCCTTGGTAGCGGATTCCAATCCAGTACCCCATCTGGTTCCGGATTTGGTTCAAGTTCTGGATCCCAGTCTGGTTTCTCATCTGGATCTGGATTTGGTTCCGGTTCCTCCTTTGGTAGCGGATTCCAGTCTGGTTCATCCGGTGCAGGATTTGGATCAGGTTCTTCCATTGATGGTGCATTCCAGTCTGGCTCATCTGGTTCTGGTTTTGGATCAAGTTCAAGTGGATTTGGCTCAGGTTCCTCATTCCTCAGTGGATCACAGACTGGTTCCTCTTTCGGAAGTGGATTCCAAGTTGACCCTCTGCCAGCTGATGGAGTATTTGAGCCTCTGAATCTCTGCTGAAGCCTCTCAACTACTGGGAAGAGTCTCAACCTCCTTCTCCTGCGCTGACCGTCCCTATGGATATTACGCTGACGAGGAGAACTCCTGCCGTGTTTTCCATATCTGTTACCAGCTCGTTTCTCCACTGGTGCTATCGAAACCTATCAGTACAGGTATGTTCTATAATATTGCATAGTGAATTGATATATATAGCTATATATAAATATATATATATATATAGATAGATAGATATAATCAGGCTTATTTTTTTTATTAAGATTATGATCTGAAGTATGATTTTGAGATTTTACACATCATCTGTTAAGCTATGAATACATGATTGGTTACTCTTTTTACTAAAGTCTGATTTTCAGAAGCTGCATTTTATAGACAATGCAAAAGTAATATAAAATGCCCTATTTGTTCTCCAGCTTCCTGTGCGGTGAGGGTTCTGTATTCGACCAAAAGGAACTTACCTGCAAGGTCCAGTCTGATGCTGTCCCATGCCAGGAATCCTCTAGTTACTACTACACAAACGAGCAGTTCGGTCGCCCTGAAGAAAAATCGCAATAAATCTGCTGAAGAAGACGACTTTTCTGCCGACACAACGAATGTATATTTATGTGATATTAAATAAAGTTTAAGTATTACAATTTTTCTCTCAGTGATGTCCATATCAAACATGATTCAACTATTCACGGAACTATTAGTTGGGATTTGTAGATCACTTAGATTAGGCTAGTCATGTAAATTCAAAAATATAATTAATATCATCAATTCTCACAAACATGAACTGAAAAAAGACATTGACTAACGAGCTAAAACTCATACATTATGACATAAATGGACTAATTTTTCTCTGTTTCCAATGAATGTTCAACTATGGTATATATATGGTAAATGTTACAATGAGTTAAATATACCCCATTTTAGAATATTATATGGTTGATTAGACTGATATATCGGCCTACCACAAGCGTTGTTATTCAAATGAACAGGCAAATCTCAGATATATAAGCTATCCCATTCCAGGACTCATTACAGAAGCAAAAAGGAATAAAACAAATGTCAAAAAGAAGACAAAGATGCATTATAAATTGCAGTATCCATAAAAGGCTTTACTAGTATCGAAAAGGAAAATCAATATGCAATTTGCTTTTGGATCACTGTCGTCTGCATTATTTACCGCATCGTAAAGGAGGTTAGGCCTACCAGAACACAAGTTACATTCTAAAGCTGTTGTCATTTATGTTAAAAAACTGAATTAAGGTCAGTTATTTACAGCAAGGGGTAGCCTACCTGACATATGCTCATAGTAATAGCTATTTAGTGTTAACAATGGACAAAGAAGTATTCCAATGCTGAGACTTGGGCAATAAATAGTAATAATAATAATAAAATCTTGCTGGAACGAAACTGTTTTACTTCATGGTGCATTAATACATGCTTATATAGGATTAGAACTAGATTTTAAGGAAATATTTGGATAACACATCTGTAAGCATATACTAATAAACACATAAATACAATGTTCGATACATATACTGTATAGCTTTAGTTATAGGCCTATATAATTTGAAAAAAGAAACATCTTGTTAATCTATTTTCATTCGATTCTATTAGATGGATTTTTAAAAATCTAACATGCCACATATATCCTAGTAAATTGGTTTGATTATTGAAAGTCCCTATAGTGACATGTAAGATGCCGAAAATGCAGTAGTTTAGTCCAATATCAAATGCTTCACGTGTCTTTTAGTTAATATAACATTAATTTTTGCACATTTATATTCACTTAATATTTGACATAATGCTATTTAATTTTGAGCTCCAGACTCAGCTGTAGCTGCTCTCTCAGTGGCAGGGATCAGTGTTCTCAGCAATTAAGAACTAAAGAACTGCACTGTCTTCGGGGTTATTTTATTCGTAGGTCCTTGAAACTCATATAACAAAATATGAGTTTCATATTTCATAGGACAAAATAAGGCAACTTGCGATATCTTTGGGCTCAGCTGTCTCTCTCTCTGATTGGCTGAGGGGGTTGGTGGCGGCATGGAATGTCTGAGGGACCGTGACTCTAAGACTGGACGGTAGAATGCAGGGCTTACAAGTAAAACAAGTTACATTAACATAGGCATAGATGGTACATACACGTAATATAATGATCACATCTATACAGTGTTTGTTTGTTTACAGAGAATGTCCTCGAACGTTGAGGAGTAGGGGACAGAAGTTTTGTCCTGTCCCTCTTTCCTGTGCCTATAAGTCGTACGGTAAGTGTAATTTTTTTTTTTTTTCTGCCAAATATAATCAGTGTTCGAAGGCCGCGACAGCTTTCTGATTTTCGACCCATATCTGGTTCTGAGATTTGAGGGAAAATGACAAAAATGATTTAAGGTATCTTTATATTTACTCTAATGTCTCAAATGTATCTGTCTATCAAAATAAATCAAACCTTCACATGGAACACTCTGTCTAACGAAACAGAGCATCCTGACAATGATCTTTTCTTCCTTACTACTAGAGAAAAATACGGTGACTCCTTGAATGTCATGCACATGGACTGGTCTGTCATAAGCCTGGGAGTCCAAAATTCAGGGTCAAAGCGGTGCCTTTGTAAGACATTCTAGATTTTTTTTCCCTGCTGTTCTTTCCTGTCTAGATGCCCTTCCAACTCGGGTCGACTCGAAGTGTGACCTTTCACCTTGGGAGTCAATGCGATAGGTGCTGGGTGCATTTAGGTCTGGACTCGTAAAAGGAAGATTGTAAAGGACCAGTGATTGCATTTACGATCGATTTTAAAGCACATTAAAAAGATAAATAAATAAATAAAAGTAAACAAATAAATGAATAAAATAATAACAATGAATAAATAAAAAATAAAATACTAGTATGAGGTGCTCGATGTTGACCAAAGAATAATTCCCTTATGATAATGATAAAAAAAAAAAAAAAAACACTGAGAACAGTATTTGTTCATTTAAGCTTAGAATGCTAATGATAAGGTTAGAGAAATGGTATTACCATTAATGATATGCTGAAAATACAATATGATAACAATGATAACAATAATGGAAACTAATGACATTGATATAAATGATTATGGTTAGGTGTAGCAATATATATTTCTATTCTTATCACATTTATGGTCAGTATCATGCGCTATTAATATTTTGAATTAAAGGCTATTAGTTATCATTATCATCTTTAGCGTTATCATTTTACTTTTCATTGTCCTTTGTTACTTCCATTATGTTTTTATGAATGAATTATCAGTTTATTTATTTCTGTGTTGTTATCCTTTATATGATTATTATAACAATGAATGGTTATATGATCATCATTGTTATAGCCATAATGAAATAATCAGTAGCCATGATTGTAACTATAACATATTACATAATTAATTTACAATATTTCTAATTTCTGTATTATCATTAATGTCATTGCCATTAATACTTTATGTTTTTATCTATCATAAAAAATAATCAACTATTAATATACTATATATTACGATTATATTCACTTGTAAGTTTTTACATGAAATAGCAGTAGTTACAATCACTCCTTGTAATGTGTAAATCCTTTTCATTCTATGATTCTCCCTGGCACTTTTCATGAAAGATAAAAGGGATGTATTAACATTTGCGTAAAATCAACACATCAGGACAAATTTATTTACAAAAGATAAGATATAAACAAAAAATCTTGTACACTCACGGTCCGGACTGTTGTCAACACGATATGAAACTCGTCTCGAATCATCAACTAATGCAACCCATAATACTCCAAGGCTTCAGTATGGTGCTATAATGTGTCAATATGGTGTGTTGAGGCTCCAATTCTGTATTTTATTTATTCGTCTTTTTTTTAAAGATTCAGTGTAGTGTCTAGGTTTCAATCTAGTGTTTCGAAATGTTATTACCATGTTTCCGGGTTTAATTTCGTGATTTCAGACTTGGATGTGGTAGTTTTAGGGTTCATTTTGAAGTATCTAAGCTTCAGTATGGTATGCTGACTTCGATACTGTGTTTCGAAGCTTCGACCTAAATCCAATGAATCTTCAATGCAGTGTTTCGAAGCTTCACATCAGGGACTCAACAGTTCAACCGCGATGTACGTAACAACAACAGGCAATTTCTATACATCTCTATATAAATTGTATCTTTTCCTCGGGAGACCGAACTGCTCGTTGGTGAAGTAATAGTTGTAGGATTCCTCGCAAGGACTCGCCACTGAGGGATCCACGCAGGTTAGCTCCCTCTGGTCGAACACCGTCTCCGCGCCACACATGAAGCTGCGGAGAAGATACTGTTAGATAAAAAGATATGGAAGTGTGTGTGTGCGTGTGAGTGTGTGTGTGTGTGTGTGTGTGTGTGTGTGTGTGTGTGTGTGTGTGTGTGTGTGTGTGTGTGTGTGTGTGTGTGTGTGTGTGTGTGAGTATATACACAAGCGCACAGATACACAAAAAACATAACACACTGTGCGAATAACGTTTACATTCTGTCCTTTATCAGGCTTCTGCATCCGCCCGACCGCCTGAGCCTCCCGGCGGCGCCTCACCTGTACTGGTACGTGACGCTGGCGCCGTCGGCGAAGAGCGCCGGGTAGCACACGTGGTAGACGCGGCAGGCGTTGTCGCGGTCGGCGTAGTAGCCGTAGGGGGGTCGTCGCAGGAGAAGGCGGTCGAGACGGTCCCCAGCAGGCTGGAGGCCGAGGCCGGGAGGTTCAGGGGCTCGAACACGCCGTCCACGGCTTCGTCGGCGTCGCCTTCGTCGGGCCGACGTCCGCCTCCGATGGCAGAGCGAAACCTGCTGCCGCTGGACGAGGCCAAGCCGCCCGTGGCGCCAGAGGCGCTGCTGCCGCTGGCGAGCCAGGTCTGCTGCCTCCTGAGGCGCCGGGACTGGCCTGCAGCCCGCCGTCGGCCGGGAAGCTGGTCCTCGGCTGAAATCCTCCAGCCGAGGGCGAGGTCGAGAGGGCGGCTGTTCCTCGGCGGAAGAAGCCATCGCCGGCGAGTCGCACGGACACATCCGGGAACTGCTGGGCTGCTGCTGCTGCTAAAACGAACGCTGGAAAATCATTGTTTCCCATTAGTTTTCATTCGCTGGCGGGAAAAAAAGACGAAAGGTCTCCACAAACAAAGCATTGAATTAATGCATATATCGTAATCTCCATGTCATCAGAAGAACTGTCAACTCACCGACTAAAAAGGTCTTCATCTCTGCTGTTTGAGGTTCAAGGCTGGACTGTAAGAGAAAGCTAGTGTGTGCTCTTTAATAGTCAGAGTTGGTGAAACACGGGCCCGGGTGAGGCACGACATGCAACTTGTTCCATGTGAAAATGTCTTTCGAATGCATTATTCTAACTTGATTTCTCTCTCTCTTCTCTCTCCTCTCTCTCTTCTCTCTTCTCTCTCTCTTCTCTCTCTTCTCTCTCTC